TATCTATCTCACACACGCACACAAACACACGTCCTCACTCTTTTTCATCCCCATCCTTTATTTCTCTTTCTCTGTCTTTGTCTTCATTTATCACCCCTCTCTCCACCTTCTATTTGTCACGCTTTTATATCTATCTTATTCTTTTCATTTTCTATCTATCTATCTATCTATCTATCTATCTAACATTTTCTATCATTTTCTGTTTCTATCTGTCTATCTATCTATCTATCTATCTATCAAATTATTTTAATATCTACCAATTTCTTTCTTTCTATCTATCTAACATTTTCTATCATTTTCTATTTCTATCTATCTATCTATCTATCTATCTATCAAATTATTTTAATATCTACCAATTTCTTTCTATCTATCTATCTATCTATCTATCTATCTATCTATCTAACATTTTCTATCATTTTCTGTTTCTATCTATCTATCTATCTATCAAATTATTTTAATATCTACCAATTTCTTTCTTTCTCTATCTATCTAACATTTTCTATCATTTTTTCTATCTATTTCTATCTATCTTATCTATCTATCTATCTATCAAATTATTTTAATATCTACCAATTTCTTTCTATCTATCTATCTATCTATCTATCTATCTATCTAACATTTTCTATCATTTTCTGTTTCTATCTATCTATCTATCTATCTATCTATCAAATTATTTTAATATCTACCAATTTCTTTCTTTCTATCTATCTATCTAACATTTTCTGTCATTTTCTGTTTCTATCTATCTATCTATCTATCTATCTATCTATTTATCTATCAAATTATTTTAATATCTACCAATTTCTTTCTTTCTATCTATCTAACATTTTCTATCATTTTCTGTTTCTATCTATCTATCTATCTATCAAATTAGTTTAATATCTACCAATTTCTTTCTTTCGATCTATCTATCTAACATTTTCTATCATTTTCTGTTTCTATCTATCTAATTATTTTAATATCTACCAATTTATTTTTATCTATCTATCTATCTAAAACTGGTGGAACATCTATATATCTATCTATTTAATTCTGTTCATTTTCTATCTATCTATCTATCTATCTATCTATCTATCTATCTATCTATCTATCTATCTATCTATCAAACAATCAATCACTCTATCTAGCACCCCTCTCTCCACCTTTTATTTATCACGCTTTTATTCACTTTCTCATTTTCAATCCAATCTCTCATGTGACCTCTAACCAAAAAGGATTACTGCTGCCATATAACGGCGTTAGCTGTCCAGTCTTCATATTCCAATGTCGATGCAAAGTCCTTCTTGGCGTCAAATTATTTCATTATTATTATTTTAGGGGCTTCCAGTTTTAATCTTCACGGCTAAGACCGTCCATGCAGCTCAGATTGTAACGAACTTTCGTATCCCATAGGTGAGATATAAATTTCACCCGAGCACCTGCCAAGAGGATGTTTTCCCGATCATTGAAATCTTAACCTGTTCAAGTCTATGGTTAACCCTAACTATCCGTACAAACAGTACCTCTTCCTCTGTAACCGTCTACCTCGAGTGGCTCTCGGGGCTTGTGAAGGATGAACCTCGCCGTAAAAAAGGACAGTAAGTGCATATCTATTTATTTATTTCTGTTTTTAATCAGTTCACCTCAAGAAAAGAGATAATGCCGCATTATGGTTAGTTGTGGAGAACCATGATCGCACACGCGCTGGTAGAAAGAAAGAAAGAAAGAAAGAAAGAAAGAAAGAAAGAAAGAAAGAAAGAAAGAAAGAAAATGATGGTTAGCTGTGGACAACTATGATCAACCACGTGCTACTAGAAAGAAAGAAAGAAAGAAAGAAAGAAAGAAAGAAAGAAAGAAAGAAAGAAATGGACACAACCTGATGGAAATAAAGAAAGAAACAAACAAACAAATAAACAAACAAACAAGGAAGGAAGGAAGGAAGGCTATGTTTGGAAAACAATGGTCACACATGCCCTGATGTAAAGAAAGAAAGAAAGAAAGAAAGAAAGAAAGAAAGAAAGAAAGAAAGAAAAAAGAAAGAAACAAACAAACAAACAATAAAGAAAGAAACAATAAAAGAAAGAAAGAAAGAAAGAAAAAAAGAAAGAAAGAAAGAACGAAAGAAAAAAGAAAGAAAGAAACAATAAAGAAAGGAACAATAAAAGAAAGAAAGAAAGAAAGAAAGAAAGAAAGAAAGAAAGAAAGAAAGAATTGAGGAAGGAAAGAAAGAAAGAAGGAAAATGATGGTTAGCTGTGGAGAACTATGATCAACCCTTCGCTACTAGAAAGAAAGAAAGAAAGAAAAAAAAGAAAGAAAGAAAGTAACATGATAGATTATTGTGTGTAATTATGATTACCTACACCCTGATAAAAAGAAAGCATGTAAAATGCTCTTTATTTGTGTAGATATATGATCATTCACCCACTGATCGATATTAAAACTCTTAAGCAGAATATATAAACAATAATAGATAGATAGATAGATAGATAGATAGATAGATAGATAGATGCGCCTTTATATCTGTAAGTGTAGAAATTTTACGTGAGAATATATACACATACATAAATCTAACACAGAATAAGCGCTAGCTCGCATACACATATAAACCCCCTCAGACATATACACGTATATATGTTTATATAGTGAACAAAAGTTATGCTTATTCTTTTTAAAACCGAATAAGTTTCGTAAAAATAGTTATATATTTGAATCTATCTCATTCAACATAGAAAATTGTTTTCTATTCAGAAGAATATTTATGACTTAGATTAGCATTATTCCCATAGTTCAGTGCAAAAAAAAAAAAAATCCCAATGTAGGCTGAAGTCCAAATTTGCATCAATAGAAAGGGCGGCCATTTTGTAAGTTATGCTCCATATAAATATAATTTTTCATGGCGGATGGCGAGAAATGTGTTCTTTATTTAAATAAATCCGTTTGTTTTGCAAATCTAATGCATTGGTCTGTTAAATAAAGTTACAAGACATAGCGACAGTTTATGATTTCATTAACCCCAGTCCGCACATACACGTGGCATTGCGACGGCTTTTACACAAAAGCGAAATATTTGAATACGATGACGATGTTAAATCTGAAATATTTTTAGGAGGCTATAAAGATAAAAAAAAAAAATAAATTAAAATAAATCTTTTGCGTTCAATAAAACTGATTCAAACTGTCTATTTTAGGAAAGTTTTTCAATTTTAAAAAATGGCTGCGCTGTTTTCTGTTGAGCTTACGATGCGTAGTGATAATGGCTGCCACCGGATCTTGAATAATACCATCGCTTAGAGACTTGCTCATGGATCCTATCATTCTTAAGCCGACTATCATAGCAACTCTATCACGATAAGCAGGGAGTATCAAAAATACTTTAGGTCGGATTCCTCATAACAAAACAAGGGCAAAATTATTCGGACTATTCTCCTAATCTTTGTCGCCATATTTCGCGTATAACGGCCGAAACGTTATAATAAATATGGTGCAATAGTCCGAACAATGAAAATAGTGTCCATAATACCGCATCTCAGAAATACAGACAGATACACAAGGACAAAAGTTCATATAAACGTATGTCCGCAAATCCTTTGTTTTTGCGATATTAAGTTTAAACAAAGTTTACAGTAGAAGGCGCTGTGTTGTTATGTAGACTAGGTTACATTTATCATTCGTGTACATTTCTAGTCTATCTTCAATTTTTAACGTGTATAGTAGTGAGTTAACTGACCATGGCAGGATATTCATATCGTGAGCAGGCAGATATGACTTTTAATAATTGAGCATATGGGCAGCAATCCCTCTTTTATACAAGTTTCATTAAAACCCACTGACAAAGTTAGGAGGTTACTTAACGTGTTGGATGCCTGGTCATGTAACTGCCCTTGATCCTGACCTCATGACACCTTTTATCCCAACCGGTATCGGGGTAAAAAAAAAACACTCCATATAGTAACACACACACACACACATATGTATATATATATATATATATATATATATATATATATATATATATATATATATATATATATACCAAGTATAGGATTGGTGTATACGGAATAAATTGCGATAAGCAAAAAGTACTATTCTTAAAAGAGTGCTCAATACAGAGTAGAGCAAATATTATTTGAAAATTATAACATAAATATGTTATAAAATCACTACAAAAATAGCCATTTTGTTTCAACACGTCCGGTGTCTTATCAAGTGATGGTATTGAATCTAAAATAAAAGGGTTTTACTTTAAACCTTTTATTCTACATTCAATACCATCACTTGATAAGACACCAGAAGTGATGAAACAACATGCCTATCTTTGTAGTGACTTTATAACATATTCATGTTATAATTTTCGAATATATATATATATATATATATATTCAGTCGCATGGATATTAGTTTGTGACCCTGGGTTTCACGCTTTTGCGATAATCAGACAAACTTGTATATTCTCTTTAAAAAGTGGATTCATTTACTCTTCTTTGTGTTGGATTATCTACGTCTGGTGGGCGGGAGTATGTTCTTCTTTGTTTGGGATGACACTCTCACGTACATAGACACACATAGAGGTGTATACATTTTATTTCATACAATCACACCCATAAATGTAATCTGAGATTAGGCGCAGATATATATCCATACGTATATATATTCACTTTCACTTACGTGCTAATACCCTTGGGAAAGGTATGGATCCTCTTCCTCTCCCTCCGGCTATGGGTAAAATAGCAGGACAGACTGGGTTCTATAGCCTTGGATGGCAACTGGTCTCGAGAAGGACAACTCTGAATTCAAAACATGCGGAGGGTCATTTGGGAACCTTGCGGCATTCGGTGCACCAGGTCTCTGTATTCGTCCCTTCAAAAAGTGTGGATGGTCCTGCACGAAACCTTCACCACTATAATCAAATCTCATGTGCCGGTGTCGGGCTGTCGGTTTCCTGAAACTGATCTGCTTGACCCCTCATACGTCGATTCTCGACGGGAGTCGATTATATATATATATATATATATATATATATATATATATATAGCGAGAGGCAACCGGGCGTCTAGCCACACTGATGATCTGTGATACAGCGAAACAGACTGTCTGTGGATGACAATATATATATATATATATATAATATATATATACGCAATTGTCATTCTATTTCGGTGTCGAAACTGTAGCGTTACATATGTAGCAATATTTCTTTTAACAAGGAACAGGTGAGGGTGGTCTTGACGTTTTTTGTTTTTTTTTCAAATGGGCCGCCCGCGCCGTCAGATAAGCTCACATTTCCTCACGCATACACAGACATATGAAGAAAAATATACTGAAAAAACAAACAAAAATCCTAATATGCGATTATGCTGTTTTAATGTTTAATGTCGACGTTGGACATTTCGGTCTAATAGATCATCTTCAGGACATATTCATAAAACATAATTCACATAGACCATATACAATTCAACATGAAAAAGACGATGGACATAAAAGCAATACCAATCCAAACAGATAAATGAAATCTTTTATAAGATCAGCGTTCCGTTTAAATATGACCACGTCGTCGTCACGTGGGTGACGTTGTGAAAACGTATTCCTAAAATTTGAGTATTTTGAATGAAAAACGAAAAGAATTTTATTTTGATCTAAAACTTATATGTACGTTTGTCGAGAATTAATCTTGCTAGAAAAGGGGAAATATTAAAGAAGCCAGGTCTAGTGTTCACCGTGCGTGAGATGGATATTATGCCTGCTTCATAAATCCGCCTAAGATTTTTATTATGAAAATATTTTAAAATCTTCACAGAATCAAAATCGAAATTTTTATGTCCATCGTCTTTTTCATGTTGAATTAAATATAGTCTAATGTTAATTATGTTTTATGAATATGTCCTGAAGATGGTTTATTAGACCGAAACGTCCGACGTTGACATTATATTAACATTAAAACGACTTAATTGCATATTAGGATTTTTGTTTGTTTTTTCCGTATATTTTTCTTCATACTGTCGGATCTATATCCATATATTTGTTTACTTATATATATATATATATATATATATATATATATATATATATATATATACGGAAAAACAAACAAAAATCCTAATATGCAATTATGCTGTTTTAATGTTAATATAATGTCAACGTCGGACGTTTCGGTCTAGTAGACCATCTTCAGGACATATTCATAAAACATAATTAACATTAGGCTATATTTAATTCAACATGAAAAGACGACGTTGACATTATATTAACATTAAAACAGCATAATTGCATATTAGGATTTTTCTTTGTTTTTTCCGTATATTTTTCTTCATACTGTCGGATCTATATCCATATATTTGCTTACATATATATATATATATATATATGTAGACGCGTACCCACACTCATCGGCCTGGGTCCACTACTACTACGTTGGTTAAGTTGAGTTCTGTCTGTGGTGTTTGAGTTAAGTTGAGTTCTGATGATGATGTTTGTATTTTTAGCAATGCTAACTGCTGGTGTATTATTGAGGATTATGATTATGCTAACTGTGATGTTATTATTGATATATTAATAATATTTATTGGTGTGTTATTGGCTATGATAAACGGTAAAGTTATTTATATGAGTGTGTTTTTTTTTACGAACTAAAATGTATACACCTGTATGTATGTGTGCCTATTTACGTGAGGGTGTCATCAGAATAAAATTTCCCCGCTCTCCACCACACACAAATAACCAAAAAGAAATACACATAAATATATACACTTACAAAAAAATTAACCAGTCTATGTGATGGTCGCAAAAAACTAATATCAATACAAGTGAATATGTTAGCTCTGTCACAGATATTGAGCACTTTCCTCTAAGTGCCGGGCATATAAAAATATATATGTCTCCCTGTGTGTATGCGTGTGAATTTGCGTGTGTGTGTGTGTGTGTGTGTGTGTGTGTTTAAAAATTTCAGATAGAATATGGTAAAAAGACAATATAAATGTCAAATTCTCCAAGACCTCTTTTCTCATTATACGTCGTAGAATTTCCAAATATCTCTATTCCTGAGAGAATTACTTCTTCCCAAATCCAATATATATGACTACAAAAATGTTTAAAAATAAATTGAATAAAAACGTATCTATGAACACAAAAGGGACCTTATACACAACAATTTATCAAGAGCATTAGTTAAACATAACAACAGATTCAACTAAAAGCTTTGACATAATATGCCACACCTATTAAAAGAGAAATTAACTTTCTCGAGAGTTCCGCTATTGGATCTTATTTAAATATAAATCTGTATCCTGGATTTTTTTTTCAAATATCTCCATTCCTGAAAGAATTACTCCTTTCCCAACTTTTTGTGATGTCAACGAATTCTCGTTGTCACTTTTGTGATGCTCGTTGTAGTAGAGACTTTGTAATCGCAGATACAAATATAGTAACGCCGTTGAACAATGCTGGTGCCAAACGCCTTCGAATAAAACTAACACAAATAGTACTTGCTCAATAATACTCGCTTGAAAAGTAAATACAGAATAGTG